GACTAACCTCCTCTTCTCTTACTTCTCTTATTTTCATCTTCCGCCTCTTCCTTCCACTCTCCCTTACATTCGCCATTTCTTAATCTCAAACTCTCTTCAATTCTTCACTCATCTCCACTCTCTTTTCTGTCGTTTTTTCTTGCTTCTCCTTTCCTTTCTTCCTTCCGTCTCTTACTTTTTATCAGTTTTATTATTTCTTTATTTCTTTCTTTCTTCCCATCTTGTTTCCTTCTCCCTTCCCTTCCTTCTTCGGCTCTCCGTGGTTCTCTCCAGTGCCGAGTGACACTGCTAAAATAATCAAGCTCAGTCAACATCCCAAGGCGGCAGCGAAAGAGACGCAAGTTAAAGTGCAGGTACCTAGGCCCTTTTACATTACAATCTCTTAGACCCTAACCTTCCGGCCGCCTACGTTGTCCACGGCATACGTTAAGCTTTCAGCTTTATTTTCCATTTTTGGGATTTCATGCGGAAAACACCATTTCACAGCTGGAGAAAGGGAAGGGGTGAATTTGTGTGGTGCGGAGGATGTCTCAGCCACATCAATAACCCCGCCGTCCTCGCTTGGTGGTAGCTCCTTCCTCGTCAGATTCATCCTATTCAGGTCCGCATTCCACGGGAGTAGGTCCTGCAGGAATCCTCACACGGTATACATACTTCAGCGTCGTTAATGTCACATTTTCTGCCTTTCTGGACGTCACATTATTCCACGGTGTGCCCAAGGCACGCGGTAGCGTTGGTGGTTGAGGCACTAAGTTACAACCCGGAAGGTCGCTGGTACGATTCCCGGTGATATAATTTGAATTTTCAATTGACTTAATCATTCCAGTCGCATTATGGTCATGGCATCGACTCAGCCTCTAACAGAAATGAGTACCAGGAATCTTCTTGGGAGTAAAGAGCGGTCAGCGCGTTATGCTGACCTCACCCTCATCTGTGAGCCGACTGTCTAAAAAATGTGGGAACCTCGATGTCTCACAACCCTATGGGCCTCCGCGGCCTGCTACAGGGATATCTTTATCTTTTTAATAATTTGTAACCTGGTGTGTTGCATTATGTCCCCTATACAAGACGAAAAGTAACAGACTGCAGGATTATACATTCAACAACACACAATTTCCATTTAGTTATCCCTTCATTTATTTAAGTATTTATTTACTGTTAATTTAACAAGGAACCAGGATAGCTCAGTCGGTATAGCTATGGGCTGGAGAGCCGAGATTCGATTCCCGGCAGGGGGCAAGAGATTTTTCTCTTCTCCACAGCGTCCAAACCGACTCTGAGGACCACCCAGTCTATTATTTAATGGATGACGGAGGCGCTTTCGCCGGGGTAAAGCAGTCGGAGCGTGAAGCTGATCACTCACATCCACCTAGTGCCGAGGTCAAGAATGGTAGAGCTATACCTCCACTCCCCCATACGTCTTCATAGCGCGGTGCTTAATTAATTAAGCATAGGGACAACTTTACCTTTACCTTTGCTGTTATTCTAACGAAGCAGTTAGTAACCGAGACAATTTACAGTTGACTGATAACATAATCAGTGACTAATGAACTGGGACGTCAAAGGCAGAGGTCGTGGCCTAAATTGATGTTCTATCGGGTCATAAATACTTACCATATGAAGGAAAACATGTGCCGTACATTCACCTGTCTTTCTGTTTAAGGTTCATCTGACACCACGGCGAGCAGCTCAGACTGCAACGTGCCGAATATAAAACGATTAGTGAATAATGAACTAAAAGTGATGTGCAAAGAAACGACTGCGAACTGTTTCTAGTTTATACCTTGTTTTTTGTACGAAGGGAATGAGTAAAATCACGTTAAACCTCAGTAAATTTAAGCGGTGTCCCTGCTGAGATTCGAAACTTGTACTTCATGAACACAATTTAAAGTTATTATCGCCTGAGCCGACGTGCTTGGTCATGCTCGGGCATGCATGCGCGCGCACGTACACAACTGCTAGGCGAAATCAGGGAAAGAGAAACGAGAGAAGATTGTACTTGTTTTTGTTGCGCAATCCAGTGGGGTGAGGTCCGGTGGTTGAATAGGCCTTGATGCTGTCACTCAGATTAAACCCGCCATTGTACGCGTCGAGCACTTGTTCAGCAAGAACTCCTGCATCTACTTTGCATGATTTAAACCAGACAACGAGGAGGTGGAAGATGAATCCATAAATTTGCAATCCACAAACATAATTCTCATTATTAGAAACGCTTCATCTGGATAAACGTACTGTTAGTTACTACACATCAAGAACATTAGCCCGCCTGCCTATGTCCTGCAATTATGTAACGTCTTCGCGAATATGGAAACGTAAAACGCAGGCTAGAGGAAAAGTTTTCCATGTGCTTAATTAAGCGCCTTACTTTTTTTTGCTAGTGGGGTGGGACTAAGTCCCTTGTACTGCGGCCACTTCTGGCCTATTGTACCAGCCCCAGATGATAGGTGAGTGTGATTGTAGAGCAATTCGTGGAATGAAGATTGGCAGGGGAAACCGAAGTACTCGGAGAATACCTGCCCCAGAGCCACTTGACCAGACCCGGGATCGAACCCGTGCCGCCGCGGTGGGAGGCCAGCGACTAACCGCTTGAGCTATGGCGCGGGCATCTTACTTACTTACTCATGGAGCTGAGCTTTTCTGGAGGAGCCGCCAATTCTGCAGCTACTCAAGAATTTCCCTGCAATTTATGGAACCCGAAGGTTCATTACCATTTTTAAAAAAGACCTCCACTGGTCCCTATCTTGAGCCAGATAAATCCAATCCATACCATCCCGTCATATCTCTCCAAATTACATTTTTGAATTTTCCACCCACCTACGCATTGGTCTTCCCAGTGGTCGCTTTTCCACCAATATCCTCTTCTCCCCCATTCATGCAACATGCCCTGCCCATCTTATCCTCCTTGAGCTCATCATTCTAATTATACTTGGAGAAGAGTACAAGTTATGAAGCTCCTCATTATGCAGTTTTCTGCAACTTCCTGTCCCCGCACCATGAAAATATATGGGGAAGTGGAGGTATAACTCTACGCTTTCTTCACTTGGACACTAGAACGGAGGCCAATGGTCAGCTATACAATGCCCTACAAACAACACACAAGAGTTAATAGGCTTACACCTGTTTCAGGCTACCCGCTTTATCTCTTGCAGGTAACAAATTCTATGCGATGCGTGTCGGGCAAGGACATTAGGCCAAGTGTCTCCTCCAGAGACTGAGTCAGACATAGCCGCAGGGCGAGAGTCAGTCAAACGGGGAAGTTCTAAGATGATGGCCGTACATTTGTCCCTAACATGATGGATGTGATTTAATATCCTAAATCATAAATCCTACTCGTATATTCACAGACGAATACTATACAGAGAAGCTCCAGCGTTTAAACTCTTCATCAAATACCATCAGAGTTATTAAATTATGGAGAATGAGATGGACAGGGCGAGCCATAGAGATAGGGCTTCGGTTCGCGGCAGACACAAGAGATATTTCTCTACGCCACAACGTCCAGACTGGCTCTGAGACCTACCCAACATCCTATGCAATCGGTACCAGAGTAAAATTGGCCAGGACGTGAACCTCGCCACTCATCTCAATCTAGTGCCGAAGTCAAAATTCTTGGAGATACACCTCCACTCCCTTATACGTCTTCATGCCGTGGTGATTTATTAATTAAGCCCAGGGATAACTTTGCCTTTATCTACCTTTATAAGAGATACGATAAACACGTATAATAGTTATGTCGAAAATCCTGAGGAAAAAATCATTCGGGTGACCTTAGGGTAGATGTTAGGATAATATTAAAATGAATCTTAAAGAAATAGTTTATCTGGGTGGGGACTGAATTCATGTGTCTCAGTGTTGGGCTCTTGTGAATATGGTAATGAACCTAATGGTTCCATAAATTACAGTAATTTATTGATGAATTGGGCGACTGTCAGCTTCACAAGAAAGATTCTGCGCCATGGAGTTATGGTCAGATTCTTAAGGTATGTTTCAGCTCTGTCGTTAACAAAAACCTTGTACCTGTTATTTTAACAAGCACGTCGAAAGGCGTAAGTGGTGTACCAAACAAAATATGGAAGGGCCAATTCTAAATTCAGCCTACGAATTTGACAAACTCTAGTAAAATTAATCGTTCTAGGACACTGTTTCTCAAACTTCCGGCAACTGCAGACCACTACATGGGCGATCGGCGTACATGATGACCACCTAGCTACCGTAACATTCCCATTAAACGTAAACATTGAACTTAATTCTATTCATCAATTTAAAGTATTTTTTAAACAATTCAACACATTTTTAAATTATTTTTTTTTTTACTAAATGATAATAAGACTATGTAATAATACGGACAATCTTGCCGACGCGGCAACCAGGAATAGAGTCTGAGGGCTCCGAGAGCCGTCAGGCAGTAAAATATGGTCATGAGTCTCGTGGGAGTCGGAACCGAGAATCACCATGTTGAATAACAGCAGCAAATTCCAAGTCACTCGGTCATTGGACGGTCACAGATCACCAGTGGTCCGCGGACTACAGTTTGAGAAACACGGTTCTAAATGATAACGAAGATGATTTGTTTCGCGTTATGCTAAAGTAAGTTCTACTAACAAATCAGCCACACATACCTTATGTGATTGTGAGGCCATAGCTTATTTAAGATTTCGTTACCTGGGTCAGTTTTTATGGAACCAAATGACTATTATGACACCCCCATAAATAAAGTCCTACATTTCATTCGAATTGTAAGGTTTATAGAGGACTAACCAAAAGGGGAAACACAATAGATCATTGAAGGTCATGGTGCAAGTGCCGGATTTTATGGTCCACCCCTTACACATACATACTCACAAGGTCTAGTACACGTACAAGGAATAATTTTGTAATAAACATGGCGATAACAGCCATCGTGTACATGGTAGCATAATTTAAGTCACGATTATTCTTCATTGTAACGCTTAGTTTAGACAAATGTGAATCTCCAGGATCAAATATCAAATTTAACTTACGGTGTGACTCCTATTTCACTCAGAACACTCCTGCTGCAGCAAAGAAAACCGGTTAATGCTCACCAAGGCACACTAATAAACTACCCGCCTTTCAACGAAGAAAAATACTGTGTGTTTAGTATCTAGTCTCCATCAAAGATGTCACTCGAAATCGTTGCTAATCTGATGCTTCCAAACAAACGACAGTCACAGAAAAAGAAAGATGAGAAACCAGTGAATGGCGGTTCCAGGCGATGTACTACCTCTCTCCCCGCCGCTAACGCCATCATGTCAACAGCTAAAGAAAAATGCAGCCAATTATACTGAGTTTTCTAAGTTTTAAACTCCAGTATAATAAATGAAAGTGCCTTAATATATAAAATGAAGTGTATATGTGAACGTACGTTTGCTAAAATCCAAAGGATTTCATTTCGTCCTTCTCAAAGTGCATTTTCATGGATACCCCCTCAATATATGGATCGTATAAGTGATATTTGTGCATGATTGAACCCCAAAAATAAATGAGTAAAATCAGCGACGAAAAGAAGGAAATTTTCCATGTCTGGCAGGGATTCCAAATCGCCATTGGTTCAATCTGTAGCTACCAAATATTTGCTTCCGCCTTTCTGCGACTTATAGAAAAAGGAACTGACAGCAAATGCCTCAAATAACTTACGAGAATAGTAGCCTTTCCTCCCAGCAATCTGATCCTCAGACCTTTGCGTGGGTGAGATGAGACTGTTCAATGGATCAACTCATGTGACGTAACACATTTCTTCCTCTAAATTCAACCTTCACGAGAGGAAGTTGAAAACCAATCTGTTATAGCCCTTTGTATTTCTCAGCGTCACAGAGATAATTCTGATGGATTTCAAGTTTTCACAGCGGTGATTATTAAAAGTTCTATCTTCTGAGATGTAACATCGTGTAGTCCGGTGAGTCAGTCGACGTTTCGAAGGAACATCTCGATACTATGGTCTGAGATTAAGCCAAGCAAAAAGTAGGCAGTAAGCAGACTCTCCTACTCTGTAGATGGAGGAGATGTGTTCCTCCGAAACGATGATTGACTACACTGTGTTATATCCAAGAAGACAAACCTCTTCAGAAACCATTCTTGTAAACCTCACCATGCCAGGCTCACTCGAATTCCATTAAAATTCTGTTAATTCTGACAATGAATTGTAAAGGAGCCAAAAATAACACTGGGAATCACTACTGTGATCGGCTATTGCAGAGATCAGGGGAAGATAACATTACGAAAGCTTATGTAAGCAATGATACGACTGTCTGTTGAATTTTCAACGGATATTACACTAGTGTAGGTAAATAAATCCGTGCTAAGTGGGAAGTTTCAGACTAAAATATGCAAAGAATGATTTTCGAGAGACTAGATTTACAAGATGGAGGAAGAAGCAAATAATAGAGAATAAGATACATCTGTTGTGAAGGAGGCCAAACTTCTTAGAAGTCCCTAAAGCCAAAGAAAAAGTGAAAGTGAGTAAATAAGTGAATCCTTACTGTGTATATATTAACATACTTCGATAGCAACAGGAAGAGCAGTACGTGGACGAGAGAATGAAGTTAGTGTATTCACTCAACGGAAGTCAATATGAAATGTATATATACACACTTGACTGCTTCATCTCTTTCATTCTGAACAGACGCCCCGCAACAGATGGGGGAGACAGTGACGTTCCTATCGTGGATTTAAGATAAAAATTACAATTCCCTCGAGTCTTGGAAACTGTTGCTGAGTTTCGGAAATGATTCTTTACATTGATTTCCGCAGGCAACAGACAGTATAGTCTGGGGCGATGATAATTGGGATCTAGTCTATTTCAACTTCGTTAATTCTGTCGATGTCATGAACAAGACGTTTCCGCAATACCAACGACCGATTTATAAAAATAAAGGCAGAGAAGTAAAGGCCGTAGGAAAGACCTTTACAGCGCGTTGTGCAGCTACGAAGTAATAAACTACAAGTAAAACATAAAAATTCAGAAAATAAACAGATATAAAGAGTAAAATAAAGGATATACGATCGAATTGGGAGTTTGATATTTGTATCACAATAGGAAAATTAACTGATTATACAGAATGATTATCTCGCTAGTAAACCCAAACATTCTTCAATAACTTTTATAATTTTTGTATGGTTCCCTACGAATACTGACAACTGTCCCAACACCCAAAAGGGTATACAAGCCAAGCACAGCACAAAGCATCTGTGAGAGCTAAGACAAAACATTAAAAAACTCTACACATATGAGGACTTGCACCAGAAAACTGTCAGAATAAAAGTCATTACTGGAGAGACAAATTCTCCACATGGTACCAACATAAAAACACTAATTCAATTGTTCTACGTAATGAGGAGCTTCATAATTTGTACTCTTCACCAAGCATAATTAGAGTTATATAAGGAGGATGAGATGGACAGGACATGTAGCACTAATGAGGGAGAAGATGAATGCATATAGGATATTGGTGGGAAAGCCAGAAGGAAAGAGACCACTGGGAAAACCAAGACGTAGGTGGGTGGAAAATATTAAAATATATCTCGGATAGGATGGGATGCTATGGACTGGATCGATCTGGCTCAGCATAGGGACCAGTGAATACGGCAATAAACCTTCGGGTTCCATAAAATTCTGGGAAGTTCTTGAGTAGCTGCACAATTAGCCGTCTCTCAAGAAGGGCTCTGATCCATGAGTGGATGACTGAGTATTCAATTTGTAGGGAAAGGAAAACAGTGCCTGATAACATACAGGACGCATGAGTCAGTTATGAGTGATGTCTGCCATAGGCGGTTTGATCAATGAAATATCGGGTAATCACCCTCGAGCGGGTTTCTGTTGAACCTCACATGTAGAGAAAACACTTTCGGAGAGTACCAAACCCAAGGCAAAGTCCAGCAGACTTCGTCAAAAGCATCGTTAAAGTAATTGGGAACTACAAAATGAATTTCCTTTTACAGCGTAATTCTTTTCAAACTTTTGAAAGGCAGGAAAAACTCAATTACTCGCTCTGAAGAGCGTGCAAATGCCAGCAGAGGTCTCTGGGCAGACGTGCTGCTTACAGAGCTCCAAGCGGCATCTTATGTAATTATGTTTGATGGTTAAAACACGTCCCGCAGTAGCAACACATATTGTTCTCGGTTACTCGTTTACATACAGTGTTCTCTTTTGGTTAATTGTTTCCATACTCAGATTTTCAACAGAATTATATTAATACGTTTTCATAGTAGCTTTTGAGCCTTGATAGCTCAGTCGATATAGCGACAGGTTATTGGCTGGACGACCGAGGTTCTATTCTCAGCAAGGGCAAGAGATTTTCCCTATTCCACAGGCCCCAGACCGACTCTGGGGGCCAAATTGCCTCCTATAATATGGACACCGCGAAATACTTTCCCCGGGGATAAAGCAACAGGAGGGTGAAGCTCACCACTGACCTCCATCTAGTGCCGAGTTCAAGAATGATGAAGTTATACCTCCACTCCCCCATACATCTTCATGGCATTATGCATAATTACTTAAGTACAGGGATTTTACCTTTTCCTCTCATAATNCCGTCTGTTTTCTTCCCACATATTATTTTTTTAATCAGAGGACTGATTTTCGCGAAGCTTGATATAGACGTTAGGAAGATTCCTGGTACTGATTTCTGTTAGAGGCTGAGTCGACCCCACGGACAGAGTACGGCTGGAATAATATGATCATAATTGGAATAAACTGGGATTTATCTCAAGCAGAATTAGACCTTCTAACCTTCTACTCTCGAGTCCAGTAAGCTAGCCCATAAACTATACTGCATTTTACTGACGGATTACAAATTTAGAGTCTCTAAATATGACATTAACATAGCAACATGACAAGGCTAGGGGATAGTGCGAAAGTAGAGTAGGCTCCATGAACTGCCTGTTTACTCAGCGTCACGTTAACTAACTTCATGGGGTAAAGTTATACTTGAGAATCCGTCTGGCGCTCAACTACCCAAGAATCTCCCAATATTTTATGGATACCAAAAGCTCATGGCCGTGAGACGCTGAAAAATATAAATTCAAATTTGAAGACGTAAGCGGAAATGGAAATATAGCTCCATGTATTTTAACTTTGGAACTTTTTCCCCATACGTACTAAATGCCCTTCCAACCTTACCCCCTTGACTTGATCATTCCAATTATGTTTGGCTAAGAGTAAAATTTATGAAACTCCTCATTATGCAGTTTTCTCTAACCTCCCGTCACTTCATCCCTCTTCGATCCAAATATTCTCTTCACCACCCTGTTCTCAAACACCCTCAGTCTCTGTTCCACCCTTAATGTCAGAGACCAGGTTTATTTAGTGCTGCGCGCCAGGCATGGCAAGGAATACAGACCGGATCCAACACGATATGTCTCCGAAGATGTAAGTCCATTAATCCTTTCCAGGAAACAATATTAATTATTCTCTGGGTATATTACAGCGAAGGTTTTGCGTGTGGGGATGATAGAGAAGGGGGTAGTGAGGAGTATATTTGGACCCATGAAGGAGGGAGTAACAGGGTGACGAAGAACTAAACTGAAAGGAAAGCAACATTACTTGAACTCATCACCAAATATTATAAAGATGATCAGATCATGGACTATGAGATGGGTCGGACATGTAACACACATGGGAGACGAGAAGTGCACACAAAATTCTAGTGGGAAGACCTCAAGAGAAAAGACTGCATATAAGACACAGGTACAAATCGTGTGATAATATTAAATAGACTTCAAAGAAACATTGTGTGAAGCTATGGTCTAGATGTATCTGATAGTGTCAAGTGACGGGCTGTTGTGAACACGGCAATGAATTTTCGGGTTCCATAAAAGAAAATAATTACTTGAACAGCTATGTAACTAGAAACTTCTCAAGGAAGATGCTGCAGCTTTTAGTTAGCTGCTGAATTAGATCTCTGCATGATAAAATTGTTTCAGGTCGCTGTGATTTTAATACACACATTCGCCGAGAAACTTAGCTCAGGCGGAAACTGTCGAGACATATCCGGTTTGAACCACGAAGTCTTCCGTGAGTTTACTCTGTACCTCCAGAGAAATGCCGGGATATCATCTCAAATTACGAGACGAATACTTTCCTCTGAATTATTCGCAATTCATTATTCACTACCATGCAAAATTACTCGACGTCGTGCCCTCAGCTACTG